TACAAATGATGGCATTATAAAAATAATCCCTCAATTATGATTTTTTTCAAAGGAACTTTAATTCACTATTATAAACAGCAGGGTCATTATAATAAAACATATTACTAACTCTTTCAAAGCCCCTTATTTATGGCAGTATACACACGTACAATATATTTTATGCAACATGCACCATTTCCAACAATTAATTTCCATGGATAATTCACCATGCGTGCTGCAACTAACCTCATTGAGGACATCACAGAAACATTGCAGACGCCAGCAAGTACACGGCATTCTGGAACCATTGATAAAAAATTATACATTTGATTACCATTACATTAAGAAATATTATACACAATGAGAGTTATGACAGAGGCAGTGACGGGTACGGGGAAAATATTCAATTTCATGATTGTTATTTTTTAATGTGCAGAAGTGAACGTGACTTGCAGTTATCCTACATGGCCCAACAATATATTAATTCCTTTTTTGTATAAACAGATCAATCAATACAAGTTCAGCTGAAACTTATTAGCAACAAAGGCAATCACACTTACTCTTAACACTAAATTCCTTTGGATTGAAAGTATTTCCATCTTTTGTCGATATGTGCAGACACTAATAACATTTTTCGTGCACACGTACATATCAGACAACCAAATTAGTGAAGCTACAGTACAACATATTTTCTCATATTATAGGTAAAGGTTATGTAATACTATACTATTGAATGTTCTATCCTACCAACACTTTGGCCAACACTCATTAACTCTCGATCTTAACCCAACGAAGTGTGAGATTCAAGAAACAATAACACAAATCTTTAATTCTTAATTATTCTAAAGTTTTAATGAAAATGCTACTTTTGCCATTTAATTAAGTGTTTTGAGGTTGATTCTTTAAAAAATTCCCCTGAAGAAGATTTGAATTCGGGCGCTTTGACCGACTACAATGGCTCTGGGGCACGTGTCTCTGAAGCATTGCTGCGCTAACCAAGAAGTCGCCTGGGGTTCAAATCCCGCCGTTAGGATTTTCGACGCTTACTACATGGATGGGTCGAATTCAACCACTGTCAACAGGATAATTCTGGTGCCAGTTGCTTTGACTGGCAGTTTCCCGAGGTATCTTTGATCAATACCAGGAGGATGCTGTAGTAGTACATTAACAAAAGGGCCACGGGCCGCGTGAGATCTTTCCATCGTCATTCTTAATCGCTACCGCTTCCCATACATACATTTACAGTTGCAGGCCAAACACTTCCACACATGTCCAGAGACCAGTTGGGACATTTCAGCTTGTCCGGCGTGAGGAGCATCGCCCAGCAGGGCGAGATTCCCAGAGGAGCGAAACCTCGCAACTAGACGCATAAGTTGAAGCTGGATTTCACGTTCCAGCGGGAGAGGAACACCACCATCTCCCGCGACATAAGATATACTCCACTTACGGAACAATGGACAGTGTAGTTGAGGCTCTCGAAAACTGAATAATCAGTCAAACAATAAAGGGTCGTTTCACTTGCAAAGCAAGAATCTTTCACATGTGCTATGCGGTTCATATGAATTTCAATTGCTAAAATCATTCTTAATATTCTGTTGATTTTAACTTTTAAGATGAAAAATTTTCACGAAATAGCAAAAAATGATACTAGAACTATTTATAAGTGTTTTATACAAGCAAAAGGTTGGAGCAATTTTAGAAAAAACTTGTCCTAGGTGGTTTCAATAATACTCTGTACAGGATCTGTTGTAAAGGCATGGGCGAGATCGATTGGGTAAATTACTTTCACAAACTTTTTGTGTACAGTTTACACACTATTGTTTTCCACAGAAGCTTTGAGACCCTCAACCAACCAAAACCATGTATTTTGTCTCTACTATGTATACAATAAATACGATTTTTGGAGAAAGAAAAAACACATTTTCGGTATCAGTTTTTGTCAAAAAATCGTCCCTTTCATGTACAATTGTAACTACTGCTGGGAAGTTCATGCATGTCAGATTTGTAAAACTAAAGAACAGTGTTACATTGAGATATTTACTAAATTTCAATTTTCTTACTTGAATGTCGAGGAAACGACACAACAATAAACTAGATTTTTTATTGTACACAATGTTTTTGTCAACAGTGATGCACTGTTTAGCACATTTTGGGCACGGTATGCCTCCGATGGAAAATTAAATTAACTTTTTAGAAGCTTAAAAACCTGCTCTTTCTGATAAGACAGGCTTGAAAGAATTTCTAGAAAGCAGTTTTCTACAAAGAAAGGCTCAAAATACTCATTTTTATGTGAGTGTGAATGTGTGCGTGTTTGCCAAAATCATCAATTTTAAACTTAGAAATGATAAGAACTAGGAGATTGAAATTATGCTTTTATAAACAATGTAATGTTGATATGTTATTAGCCAAGTTCCACTTCTCACACTCACTCACAGCTATTCAATGTTAGCTTGGATTTTTTACCCTTTTTTGACGACTTTGCTGCATTACACCCACTGTGTTAATGAAGGCATAATTAACATTAGTTTTACTGAATAGAGCAGAAAAAGATGTACAGGTAAGTTCAGTTTAATATGTTTAGCAATAAAGGAAAAATAAATATTGTAATAAAAATTAATATTGAAGTTGCGAAAATGATATAGTTTTAGGGTACAACGACATTGCATGGGATCAAACTAGTATGTTTCAAAAACTATTTCACTTACGAAGCCAAAACTTCACAAAAGTGGCTTTGAGACATGTGGCACACTCGTGATACAAAATTTCAGCACAGCCCCCATGCCTCCCGGATCCACCACTGAACCTAAGTTCAATTCCAAATCCCCCCCATACATGCACCTAACCACCCATAATGAATATATTTATGTAATCCTACAGCAACTTTAATTAAACTACTACAACATGCAGAAGGAGCATAACAGTATGTAATTATTTCTGAAGGCTTAAAAACTCTTGATAAATGACAACCAATATTATACTTCGAACATTTGTATTTTACAACAAAGTATGATGTTTTAAAAACAATGCATTACTTGAAAAAGAACAGGCAACATAAACCAAAACATCTATTTAATATGTCATCTTATAATGAATTCTAATAAAGGAGAGCAATCAAATTTATTTTCAAACTTAAGGTATATTGCAAGTTAAAATTTGACATGTTCCCCCTTCTGTTATCCTCATTTTCTAGTGTAATGGTAGCAAACCAGCCAAGCAATATGCTGCCTCAGCGAGTAGAGTTGGAGGGCCACCATACTGGTGCTGGAGCAGATCCAGAGAAAAATTTTGGGAGGAGAAATTTAAAATGTCTTGGACGAATGTCATATTACAGATTTTGTAAAATGTCGCAGACTACACTCAACTCATGCTGCAAAACAATTTTATTCCTTTTAATGATTATAATTTAGTTGATGTGATCCTTGTGTATCTTAGATTCCGTTGTGAACCTCTTAGTTTCATTTCAGGTAACTTCTAATCCAAGTGAATCTATTCTAAACAAACACACAATTATCACAAATGCCCACTTTAAACATAAAATTCCCACACTGTGAAAGGCAAAGCCCTTTCTAGGCTTAAACGAGACATATGAAGATGGACACAATCCATAACACTACCTACTTCGAATTAAAATGGCTTCAGACAAATAGTGCACAACCTTCTCACATGTGTTCATTTGTTCTCAAAAAAATTTCCATTTGATATTTCACACATAATTTAATAAATATTGGTACTTTCTCTACAAATTCTAGAAAATCAATTATTACAACCCTTGAGAAGAAAGGGGAAAGTTTAACCCATAACCACAGACGGGAGTCAATTCAACACTTCTACATTTTTATTTTATTGTTTTAGCACTCTACCAAGACTTCAGTACCTTCAAATTAACTCTTCGTTGTTGCATATGCGAATTGTCAATTATATACATTTTGATTTATTAGATTTTTTCCTGTTAAAAGTAGCTTTGTGCGTCACAACCACAGTTTGACTCCACGTCTGTGAACACGTAACAAAAAATTACTTGTTGACACTACTGAAGGTAGGCATGTGTGTAATATTTTTTGTGTTATGTGAGCTATATTTATTGTATTTATATTTTATTTTTATTTTTTAGCATTATCCTTGGTATTATCTTTCTATTTTTCGAGCACTATCCTTTATATTTTTCTGATATAGAACAAATGACATCAGTAACAAGGCAGGATTTTATAAAAAGTATAAGGAACTAATTACCAAGGAATTAGAAAGGAGATTGTCCAACACACGTTTTTGACAAGACATTAAACTTCCAAAAGTAAGAAAATAGTAGGCAGAGAAAAGTAGGAAACAGAAAAAGAGGATGGAAAACTATCTACCAGAAAATCCTGTGCTATTTGTCATAAAACACTTAAGATGAAAGCAAATACTCTTTGTTGCTCTTGTAAACATACACTGTGCAGTCGATGTTCGTCAACAAAATGTACCAATCGTAAAAGCAATAAAACATTAAAAACACTTATAAAATATTGTTAGATGAGTTTAATATTTATATTTGCATTAAATATATCATCTGAATAGCTCGACTACAGAGACGCAATTAAAAAGCTAGTAATTATAATTATTATTGTATCAAAAACTTTTTAAATCATTTTTTGTTCATATTATAAAACTGATTTGACAATGTATAAAGAAAATAATTTGCAAAAGTAAATTGATAAGACATAAATCCTCGAGGGAGCATGTGGAGTCAGTTTAACTCCACGGCTGTCATTGCGTAACAAAAAATTTACGTCGGTTGTCATGGATTAATTATCCAACCAAAGTTACAGACACATGAATCATTCGTAGAAAATCAATCATAAATGAAATAGTAATTCATTAAGGAACCATCAAGAAATTTTCATTTTAAAAATTGTTAATTATTCACAAAAAAATTGCATTAAACAAAATTTAAAAATATGTTACGAAATACTAGTTTTAACAACAAATAATACAACTATAATGCTTAAATTATATACTATATCCTATATTTCTTAAGCTCTTACCCAGCTTCCAATTAAAAAAGATATTTCAAGTCACTTCAAGTCGTCCTCGGATTCTTCTGACACAATCAAGGAAAAATTAATGTCTACACCTAACACAATCAGCAACGCCCTGTAATCATAAAAGAAAATAATATTATTACATATCTATCATAAAATTAACTTGAAATGATTGGCCAAATAATGCTAACCTGAAATACAGATGATTTACAAAAGAAAATCTATCAACGAAACTCGCTCAGGATCATTGTCCAACACAAACTCCTCAGGAACTGTCCAACACAAACGAACTCACAGTTTGAATTCTCATGAAAATTCCTCCGTCTGACAAGGTACGTTCAGTTTGTCATGTTTTGTTACATGATGAAAAATAAACGAAAGGAAAACAGACCAATAAATTCGTTACCATTCCAGTCATAAAACATAATATATAAACGAGAGAAAAATAAAGATACAGAAGTTACAAAGCAACGCACTGATCAGCTCTTATCACAAACGACTTTCCGGAAGAGGCATTTGAATTTCCGTCCTAAAACAAGTGCAATACCAACTCTTTAGAAAACCTGCAAACCTTTTCAGCGTCACCTGTAAGCGAAAATTGCCTAGTCTGAGTTAGCTTCCTATCAGTTGATCATGACTAATTTTTGTAAATAAAAAATAATAAATTAAAATTTCACACTTGAACATTTAAAATTTTATTTCAATGCGATTGCAAATACCTTACTTCCACTTGGTCGCGTTGTATTATTTTAAAATTTTCCCGCTTTACCTACTTCAGGGTTGCACTATCGCCCGTTGTGGGCGCGTCATTCGCTTCCGACGAATTCACAAAATCTCTATACTTTCATAAGTGACAGCAATATAACATTTTTGGCGCGACTTCCGTTAAAATCTAAGATGTTACTGTACAACAAGTCAGTGGATCTACAACATTTTCTGGTATACTATCGTATTTTTTCTGGTATACTATATTATATTGCAACTTCAGTCATCAAATAAAATTGTTTCAATCATCACTTTAACTCCCCAGCAAACGAAGTGCGGGGATTTTTGAACAAATACATTCCTCAATATTTGCGAAAATTCAAAAATTTTTAAATAAAATTGTACTTGAAGTCGCAAACGGAACTTCGTTATAACAGATTTCCCCATACATATAATAGATGTTGATTTTTTTTCTGTCTGTTCGGCATAATATGCCTTTCAGAGATTTTAATTTACAATTTATTATTACACATAATATTTGGCCTTTCGGCTGACAGTATTTGAGGAGGACCACACGGCTACCTCGTAAACAAAGTCTGCAGAG